TAACCTAACGCTAAACCTAACCCTAACGCTTAACCTAACGCCAAACCTAACCCTAACCCTTAACCTAACCCAAACCTAACCCTAACCCTTACCTTAACGTGAGTCGGCTTGCTTTCAAAGCGCTTTTTAAAGCGCCCTTTTTTCTCCGCAGTCGCTGTTGTCGCGCTGCTGATGACGTCAGGTACGCGCTTTAATCGGGCGCGCTTTAGTGGACCGCGGTTTTGTCATGCCACGAATGCAATGATTGAAATCTGACATAAAGCCTGTCATGCCTTAGCAAATATACAAGCTTACTGTAATAGACATATTGTAATGCTTAGATCACATTACATACTAAGGAAATACTCCAAATCACAAACTATTCAAATTCATTTGAGACTTGAAATGTCTCACTGGAAGATACAGAGGCTAGACTCTGAGGCGAAGCCTTGATGAGCTATAGACTCATAGGCTGCATGAACTTATCTTGTGGCTCATCAGGGCTTAGTCTCAAAATCCATTTCCTCCAAAGTCTAGCCTCTATGTAGGTCTTCAAGAAGAGAGGAAAGTGACAGTGCAGGGCCCATGGACATGTTTCTGCTTCTATTGCCTGATTGTGCAGCCAACATAATGACTAACCGGTCAGATGGAGTAATTTTAGGGAATCTTTTCCCTCTTGAGATCAAGGAAGAGGATAATGCAAGTCATAAGGCGACTGAAAGCCCCACCTTGGATGGGCTCTTCTCCAAGAAAACAAGGAAGAAGTAGGGAAGGGAAGTAGCAGAGAAGTAGAACAGCCCCAATCAACACTACCTGGTGCTCATGAGCCAGGCGTTTTCCTCCACACCCATAAACACACCTGATGCATGAATAGGTCATTTATGGTGTTAGCAATTCCTCTGTGTGCCAGCTAACTTGGAAACCAACATTCTAAGCCATAATATCAGGCCAGGATCACAATAATGTTAACTGCTAAATTGGGCACCAGCATCTAACATGTGTAACATGTTTCTCCCCCACAAAACTCAAACTGCCCAACTCAGGGTTTTGCTCTAGTTGTCCCAAACAGAAACTATGAGTAGAAAAAAGACAGGACCTTCTCCTTTCATTTCCCTCCTTTCTCTCCCCACCATCACTCCTTGTACCTTTTGGCGCTTATAAACGTTGGTCAGAGGAGCCACTTCACAGTCTTTGTGGGCTCCAAAGACTTTGCACATAGAGCAGGTTGGAACCTCACAGGTCAAGCAGTATATGTTAATCTTTTCCTCTTCATGTTCTTCACACATCAGCTGCTGCTCTGCCTTGGCATGGAGAGGCCTGGCCACAACATAAAGAGAGATTGAGAGGGATGTTGAATCCCCGGAAAATGGCCTATATCCTGGCTCAAAACCTTTCTAGTTTTCTTAAGGTCATCATGTCAAATGAGAACAGATGTGCTCCTTTTTGAAATATAGTGCAGCATGCCAAGAGGTCCAATTTTTATTTCCAAAGGGAAATACTTTAGCTCTTAGTGTTCCAAACAGAAGTTTAGGTGAAAGTGGGCAGATGGAGATGGATTTCAGCTTGGTTCCAAAAAAGACATACAGTGATGAAGAGACAACCAAGCCATTGGTTCTACCATCAACACCTAGCTACCATGATTCTTCCTTTGGCTAGTGGTAGCAATACAATGTTAATAGCTTTTATGTGATTCAAATTATTGATGAGATTAGCCATTTTCTTGGTACTGTGTCAGCAGTGGGATTCATTTACTTTCCCTACTGGTTCGCAAATGTGAGCGTGTGCGTGCGTGCATTTCACTCACATGTGCCACATCTGCGCATGCACACCGCCTTCTGTACATGCGCAGTGCTTGCTCATTACATCAGGGTGGGTGGGCGGAGCCTCCCGCAGCTGCTGCTACCGGTTCGCTTGGAGAGAACTGGCTGAATACACATCTGCACTGTGTTTAGATTAGGTTAGGCATTTAGAGAATTATATTCTTTGTAAGTGCATAAAAAAGAACCAAATCCAAAGGCAATTTTGGAAATCACAATGTCAGGGGAACAGAGTCTTTTGAAGGAGCACCCAGATAGGCTCTTCTCTCACCTCGCCCAACATTTTGTGTAAGCCTTGGGGTAGGTGATGAGTTCCATTGAGGACATAGTAAACGAGATACGTATATATGAAGGATCAGAGATAATATTACAGATCAGCTGCCAGAGGTTGAATTCTGGCCAGCAGAATCTCTCTGGAGACAAAGAGATTGCCACATCAACCAATGTGGACATATGCTCCTCATGGGTAAACTTCAGCAACTAAGATTTCTTCAGTTAGCTCACAAGTCGGGTGGCTGGGAATTGAGGGATTTCCACAAAGCTCACTGCCACAATATAGTCTATATCTGTGATGGCGAACCTATGGCACATGTGCCACAGGTGGCACGTGGAGCCTTCTCTGCGGGCACGTGAACCGTCGCCCAGCTCAGCTCCACCGCGCATGCACGCGTGCCTCCCGCCAGCCAGCTGATTTTTGGGTCTCTGCCATGCATGTGGGTTGGGCACGTGCATGCCTGGGGGTAGAGGGGTCACACGCGCATGCATGGGGGGGCGGGGGACCGCAGGGGGGTATTTCCCCATAACCCAATTTTGGTCCCAGGAGGCTTCAGGAAGGCCTGCTAGGCCCAAAACGTGCCGTGGGGAGAGAGTGCGGTACCCCACCCACGACCCATTTTTGGTCCCAGGAGGCTTCAGGGAGGCCTGTTAGGCCCAAAGTGAGACACAGGGGGGTGTTGTGTGTGTATGTGCGCGGGTAATAGTGGGGGTGTCGCACATTGATACGTAGGGGTACGGGATGCATGGGGTGTATGTCATACATGCATTGCATTGTGGGTGGGTATTTTCAGCACACAAGGACAAAAAGGTTAGCCATCACAGGTCTATATTATGGACACAAAGTTCTGCCAAGGCTCATTTCTTAAACACTTATGGAAATTGCTTTTTTACTGCTTTTCAACTATTAAGAACCTTCTGATCGAAAGGTCTTATAACATGCACTTGGGGGAGTTCCCTTTAATCCTTAACAAAATAAGTTTCAAAGGTAAGCTTAAGAACAAAAGAATTGTTGGGGGGGAGGGAGGGATAATCAGCAGAACAGCAATTAGAATGTTATACAGTGAATGGACTATAGGTCCAGATGGATTTGAAACCAGATTTTGAAATTTGTTACAAGAATCCTTCCCATGAGAAAATTCTGTGTTTTTAAATTCTTAAAAGAAAATACAATAAGATGGGAGCTTGAGGAAACCAAAGGCAACTAAAGATTACAATTAAAGAAGAATACTTCAGTTTGACTTACTCACACAGAATAGCAATAGCACTTAGACTTACATACTGCTTTACACTGTTTTACAGCTTTCCTTAAGCAGTTTACAGAGTCAGCATATTGCCCCCAACAAGGTGGGCCCTCATTTTACCAACCTCGGAAGGATGGAAGGCTGAGTCAACCTTGAGCCTGGTGAGATTTGAACAGTTAAATTGAAGTATTCTTCTT